CACAAACTATTTTCAAGTAAGATGCTAAGTTTCTTCGGGCAAGAATCACATTGCCCACAAAGCAAATAAGGATCCAGTGATAATGGGTTTCTTATCCTCAAACTTTAGAGCAAGATAATCTAAGGTATCTGTAACCAGACGGCAACACAAAAATTGCAGGCAGGACAGCAGGGAAACCCAGGAAGGTTGTGGGCTGCAGCTTGTTTCTACTGTATGGGATCTTGGAAACCAAGTCTGAAAAGGAGGCTCAGATTTTGTTGTCTCCCACTTTTCACATGTTCCCATGTAGGAAATGGGTTTTCTTAGGACTTTGGAAGAAAACTTAGAGGCTCAAAGGAAAAATTTTGAAACAAGTATTTTTAGAGGAGTTGGTGACATAAATAGGCAGAAGTTAAAAAGCCTTGCATTTTCTACCTGCTGTGTCTTTCCTGCAAGAAAGCATGTCAAGATGAGTGTCACATCTATGTCCTCTTATTTTTAGCAAAGAAGTATAATACAAACTATAAATAGGGTGACCATACAATTTACTGTTAAAAGACCAAGAAAATCTTCAAGAGGCTGAAATAAAAGTTATACTTTATAGAACTCAAATCATTAAAATGAGTACATAAGAGATGGCTGCATATGAAATATTTTACCAAATCAAAATAAACTTTTCCCTAATAAAATATTTAGATCAGTCCAAATTAATGGTTGGTTGGTAAAGAAAGGAATAGAAACAGGGACATCATTTTGCCTCTCTATATTTAGAATTAGGTGGTTACAATTTTAAGACTAGAAAACAAATTTGTTAGGTGTTATTTTTTTTTTCTGTTCCATTTTAGATTTTCTTGGTGGCTAGTTGAATTCTTACAGGATATTTTTATGACAGGATGTACCAAAAGAAAACGATGAGGTCCAGTGTTGTGGTACTGTAGTTTAAGTGGCCACCTGTGACACCGGCATCCCATGTGAGCAATGGTGTGAGTCCCAGCTGCTTCAGTCAAATAAGTAAATTTTTAAAAGCAAAACAAAAAAATTATAATATAATCATTTTTTCTTGGCCTAAATTTTATGGATTACTGTGTTTACTTATTTCCTGGGTTTACTGTAATATTACTATGTATATAATTTCCATCTTTATCTAAATTAATGACAGAATCTCATGAAATTTCATTTGATTAATATATAATTCTTATAACATTTTGCTAATTTAATAGCTGAGAGCTATTACAGGAATTTATTTACTAAAATTAAATTCCCACTGGAATAAGGCTAATTATTCTTAAAGAAAATTATTCATAACTATTAAATATTCTTTGTAATACAGCCATTTATGTTACTAAGAGTATAGTTAAGCAGCTATTTGCTAAAAATGTTTGATAAAAAGGCTTTCTCTTCTCTTTGTAAATAGAGAAACTATTCATTTTATTATATTTTGAAAATCTTACTTCAGGAAATGTTTCTACATCTTATAAACAACTTTCTCCTTTTCAGAGCAAAATGTGTATATGGTTACATGTGAATACACGTAAGAGTGTATGTATGAAACCGACAAAACAACTCTAGGTTTCAAGTATAGTTCTGAGTTGAAGAAATAAAGAATCTGAATGATTTTCATTTTTCAGTACAAATTTTTGCTATTTTCCTCCATTTCAATCCACTAACTGCTTTCGAATGTTTATTATTCATTTATACTATACTAAATATTGGGAATACAAAAAATGAGGATAAATCAAAGCAGAAAAAAAAAACCATTATTACTGACATTCATAATCTTAAAAAAAAAAAACCCAGCAAGGTGCAACTTTGCACTTCCTGAGCAGTAGAAAGCATAAACATCTACACAGCCCAAGAAAAGAATAGGCAATGAGTGAGAAGGTAACTGGGGTGATTTTCCTTTCTCCCTCCCTCTCTCTTTCTTTTAAATTCTTCCTTCCTTCTTTTTTTTTTTTTAAGACTTACTTATTCAAAAGACAGAGTTACAGAGAGAGGAGGGAGAGACAGAGGGGCAGGTCTCCATCTGCTGATTCATGCAGGTGGCTGCCATAGCCAAGGCTGCGCCAGGCTGAAGCCAGCAGCCAGGAGCTGCCTCTGATGCTTTCCCTTGAGCTGATTTTAAAAGGTCTGAAGGATCTTGGCAGAAGCAGGTAAGACACCTTAGGTAGAGGATGTAGTATATAAACAATAAAGGCATAAGAGAAAAGAGACCCATCTCAGGTGGGAGAAGACTTGTAATGATAAATTATATATGGGAAAGAACTGAAAATGAAGCCAGTAAACTAGGTAAGAAACCACATTTATAAAAAAAAAAATAATAAAAAAGTGAATGTCATTAAAGAGTGGGAAAATAGAAGGCGATCCTGCAGAAAAATTTTGAATGCATGTGTAAAACATCTAGGTACAGCATATTTCAAGTACTGATTTGCCAAATCTGTTCTACTTTAATGTCACCTTCACCTGGAAATCTGCCTGTTTTACACCAAATAACACCATCACTTTTCTATTTCTCTCCTATTTTGTCGCAAAGAAAATCCTTTAGATAATCCTATGTTTACACCTATGTGTCAATTAAGTAAATAGAACACATCATACACACAAAAACAAAATAAAACAAAAAACTCTGATCCCCTGGGAGCTCAAAATGTGGCAGGGAGAAGTTGACAATAAATTAGGAAGACGCCAAATATGCTATGAATAAAGTATAAGCAAAGCATGTAGGACAATCAACAAAAATGTCATGTAAGATGAGTCCTGAAAGAGGGGAACCACGCACTTACCTAGAAAAGGCTGTGCCAGACGGAAGAGAACAAGCCATGTCAGAAGAGATGGAAGCACTGTGGATTATTAGGACACTGGTGTGGTCCAATGGGAGGGAAAGGGTGACGATGGAGATGGGGGATAGGAGGTGGTAGGATCATGCAGACTCCTGTAGACCCTAGAGTGACTTGAATTTTATTCTGAATAACCAGGAAACACTGCAAGTGACATGAGAACAAAGGAATGACAGGAGCTAATATGGTTTTAAGAGAAGTGCTCTGGACACTGTGTTATGAAGAAACTGCACTGAGATAAAAATGGAAGCAGAACTGTCAGATTAAGAGATTATGTAGTAATCACAGTGAGAAATTATGGTAGCTTATGTAGGCAGTGAGAAATGGCCAAACTAGAGATATGTGATATTCTGACTATACAACCAACAAGATTTTGACACTTTTGATGCTGGGTGTGAGAGGTACTAAGATGGAACTCAGGTTTTTGGACTAAGAAAATGAAAAGACGGCACTGGTGTTAAAAGAAATGAGAAAGATTACTCGTAGAGCAGGATTGTAAAGAAAGATCTAGAATTAAGCTTCTGCTGTATTTGAAATGTCTACTGGAAATTCAACTAGGCTCTTGTACACCTAATGTTTAAGTTTGGAGTTCAAAATAGTTCCAAATTACAGCTTCTGCCACACCCTTAAAATTTTTGTATTCTAGACACCTAGGAGTTTATGTAAGTTCCCGAAGACTTCCCATGTCTATATATCTGTCTCTTTACATTGAATGTTTACACACTCTGTCATTTTCACTTCCTCAAAAAAAAAAAAAAAACAAAGAAGAAGAAAAAGTCTGCATTTTAGACTTTGGTTGTCTATCATCTATTTCATGAAACTTACATGATCATCACTTCCTAAATTTCCCTCATTCTTTCCCAAAACTTTTACCATACTAAAAGGGTTAAGCAACTTTTTCAGTAAGAAGAAAAAAAAAAGCAGTCATTTTATAGAAACAGCAGGTGACCTGTCTGCTCTCATCATCAGAACTCTTCAGAAATCCTTTAAAGAAAATTAAAACCATAGAAAAAGATCTTGACAACCACCTTGGTGCATTTTTTCAATAGTAAGAGTTATTGCAAGAAGATAAATCTTTTTGAATTATATAATACACTTTATACATACTAAAACCCAGGAAGATCTTTTCTGCTAGCTTTTGAAAGCTATTTTTTTATTATATATATATTTTTTCATTTTTATTGTCATTCTTTTACTTGTCCTGGGGAGGCATTGAAATTACAAGAATTATTGGACAAGGATACCAGTCTCTAGGTGTCATTCCTAAGAGATGATATATAATTGAGAAAAGGTAAAAATGTGAGATGACATGAAATGTAGATATAATCTAGTTCAACTAGCCGCTTGCACAGATAGGAGTTCTGATTCGGGAGAGACACTGCTAGCACCACAGCAGTGTGTTCTCAACCCTCCATCTGGGTGGCTACCGTCTGTTAGAATGGTTGCTCCATGAAGACAGAGATTATTTTCTGTTCTGCTCACAGTAATGAGAAATAGTAATTTTTTTCTAGCTGCTAAAAAGCCCCTAGAGGATATTAAGTACTGAAAGAAGGAACAAACTTACAATGTTAAATCACACCAGGCTGAAATATATTAAATCTAAGCTAATAAACAGGTTTAGTGCATTTCTTTGGAGTCATAAAAGTTGGGGTAGCAGGAATTTGCAATCATCATCATTAAATAGTAATCAATTATAAAATGCCAACTGCATATAAAAGTTGCTAAGGGGTGGGAAGAGATGGCATCCTGAAGCAAAATCTCTACCAAAATACACACCTTCATGAAAGTTTCATGTAGAACAAGAAAAAAAGGATAATATCTTAGCAACCATACTTGTTTTATAAAGTGTAGTATTTTGATTACACAGTAACTATGGGAAAATTACAGCTTCTGAAAATAAAATAGCACAACGATCTTATTATATCTTCAGAGAATCAAGATTCATAGAGACAACTAAAAAATAGTTTTAAAACAGATCCCAGGATATGTTAACAGTGTAACTTAAAATACCTTCAACAGTCAAGGTATTTAAAGTACCAAAGATATCTTACTTGGTACTAAAACCATACAACCTTGGAGTCAAGCATTCTCACCAATGCCCACAGTAAACAGGAAATCTAAAATATGCATGTCAATTTGGAAAGAGAATTATCAGGTAATCATTTTGAAAGTACAGAAAACACCAACCTCTTTAATCTCATGTAGTTCTCACTGGCAGCAGGGCGGCATTCAGCTCTTTGGACCACGATTCCTTCCAAAGACAGTTTATCTTGAATGAAAAGGAAAAAACATAACAATTATGTTCAACAACATTTATCATTTTCAAGACAGTATTTTGACACACTAACAACATGATAACTGAATATGAATCCTGTAGCAGTAGCAAGCTGTATACATACAAATCAACTTCTACAGGAAAAAAAAGGTCATCTTTTTCAGGCTCTCACAAGATTAACAGCAGAAGCAACAGCCAACACCACAGACACCTCAACTGGTTCAGCTTATACAATTAGGAAACTCAAGCCATTTGATTGCTGATATTCTGGAGGACAACAAACAGAACACCTGCTTAACGCAATAGTTACTCAAGTATGTTAACCAAAGATTTAGCAGAAAAATAACCAAGAAGACTTCAGCAGTTCTCCACTCCAATCAGGCACTTACTTTATCCTCTCAACAAATAAGGGCACTTAGGGGGATATTTCCTACAGGAAATTATGAGGGATATGACTGTGGATGGTCTAAATGGTTGATATTGCTTATAAACATGGCTTGAACTTTATGGAATGTGTGTTGAAACATGAAGTTTACATTTAAAATTTTCTGTTTTTTTTTTTTTTTAAAGATTTATTTTTATTATTTTTTATTGGAAAGGCGGATATACAGAGAGGAGAGACAGAGAGGAAGATCTTCCGTCCGATGATTCACTCCCCAAGTGAGCGCAACGGGCCGATACTATGCCGATCCGAAGCCAGGAGCCTCTTCCGGGTCTCCCACATGGGTGCAGGGTCCCAAAGCCTTGGGCCGTCCTCGATTGCTTTCCGGGGCCACAGGCAGGGAGCTGGAAGGGAAGCGGGGCTGCCGGGATTAGAACCGGTGCCCATATGGGATCCTGGGCGTGCAAGGCGAGGACTTAACCCTTGCGCCACCGCGCCGGGCCCTAAAATTTTCTGTATTTTAATTCCATTTGCCATAAGCATTTTTAAAAAGATTTATTGGTTTTTATTGAAAAGTCAGATATACAGAGAGGAGGAGAGACAGAGAGGAAGATCTTCCGTCTAATGATTCACTCCCCAAGTGGCCGCAATCGCCAGTGCTGTGCTGATCCGAAGCCAGGAGCCAGGAATTTCCTCCAGGTCTCCCTCGCGGGTGCAGGATTTCAAGGTTTTGGGCTGTCCTTGACTGCTTTCCCAGGCCACAAGCAGGGAGCTGGATGGGAAGCAGAGCTGCCGGGATTAGAACCAGTGCCCATATGGGATCCTGATGCGTTCAAGGCGAAGATTTTAACCACTATGATATCACGTCAGGCCCTTCTTGACTTTTTTTCTACAAATCTAGGAATATTTCAAATCATAACTGCTAATTATATAGATACTGGGTATTTTCAGCATTTATAGGACCCCTCAAGGCTTCCAGGTAGCTAGCAAAAGCAGCATGTCAATTTTATACCAAAATGTACCAGGAAGAAAATAACAAAAAATCATAATAATTTTTACGCCATATTTTTATGTCATATTCAAATTTAGAAAGTTAAACATACTTCTCATTAGTGGATTTAATAAGATTATAACTTAAATATTTCTTGAAGCAAAAATGAATCTTATATTCAAATTTTCCCTTTTACTAGCACTATAAACGATCATAAAAATTATTCCATCATTATACCAATGGCAAGAACTGGCAAATTTTGAGGCATGGCGTCTTAAGTGCACAAGGAATATAAACTGATTTTTTTGAAAAAAGAAATGCAGATTATTATTCCTGAATATAATTCAGTCACATATACAAGTGTTTATTAATTCTAATAACTGAAAGAGCTACCTTTTACAATGACTTACAGATGTTCCTCACTTATTTCGTATTACTTACCCAACATGGACATGCTGAATTTACTGTTTAGTGAAAAGTCTCTGTTGTCAGCATTTTCGTATGGCACCCAAAGGGCAGAAGGCAATTCCAAAGCATCTGACATTTTAACCTGCTTGCCACTTTCCTCATGATTAAATCAAGGTCACTCACACAAAGCAGTAAAATTCATTCCCTCAAGCTGTAATTTTCTGTTCATCATACCTTCTTTACAAACCAAAAATAATTTTCAAATGCTACTCAAGTGAAAGGAATAGTCTTACTCATCAGCAATGAATTTTCTTATCAATTGGGTGCTCTTAATAACCTCATGTCTCTGCTTCCCTTCTCTCTTCTCAAATAAATAAAGCTGGGTGGGAGTTGAGCCTGGCAATTCAGATGCCTGCAGCCCACACCACAGCTCCTGATTCAACACTCAGCTCCTGCCCAGACTCCAGCTTCCTGCCAATGCAGATCTTGGGATGTGGGGTGATAGGTCAAGTAATTGGATTTCTGCAACACACAAACTGGGGACTCGGGCTTCAGTTCAGGTGCCTAGCACAGGCCTCAGCCTAACCCCAATCTTTGGGTCATTACCAAGTAATTGAAAAAATAAAAAAAAAAATTTAACAATTAACTTACTTGTGATACAGCCCTCAGGCATGATTTGCATGCTCTTTTTTAAAGTCTTGAAATGCTTCCTAAAGCCACACAGAAACACATTCTCATACACTTCACCTTAAACCAGACTTCTTCAAAAATATTGCTTACAACCTTAAGACATTAGGTATCAAATTTTATTTTTAAAAACCCACTTGCACACTATAGATGTTAATTATAGATATTATTCATTTACTTATGAACCCTTACTTAAGACATTTGCTGGCCCCTTCTGAAGGAGCATAATCACTTTACAAATACTCTATTATGAAAATTTCTATTTTTATCCGGTTATTAAATTTATTTACTGAGTGGCCATCTTGCAAAAAATCACTCAAGGGAGCACTAGAAATAATCGGGATAAAGGCAACATGGCTCCTGCCCTCAGGAAGCAGAGTTAAGTGCAGCCATTCTAAAATGCCACACATCATCTATGGCAAATATTTTTTTTTCATTTTTTGGGGGCAAATATTCAAAGCATACAAAATAAATTGGGATCTGATTTTTTTTTAAAGAAAAGTTCAAAAAACACCTAAAGAATTTTTGTTCAATTTTTAGCTATCAAAATCTACCATAGTAGAAATGAAAACTAAAAAGCATTCAGAGAATGTGCATGAAAAATGTTTAATGTGATTATGAAACTAATATTGATCTCACAGAATTCTGAAAAAGGTCTCAGTGAATCCTAAGCCAATTGGTTCCGAGGCAACATTTTGAGAGCTGCTGGTTCAGCCGCATGCTATGAGTCATTTTAATACAACAGAAGCATTTATAACATAGCTCCACTAAACTCTTAAGACTCACCAGGGCTCTCAGTTCCCCAATACCAAGCACAGGGACAGATGCCCAAAGTCTGTCAAAGAATATTGGGTAGAGGGTTAGTCCCAGGTACTCCCACGTACTTCTGATCACAGTATACTGGAATCTGTTTATGCTAGTTTCCATAACTATGGGATCTGATTGTATAACATACTAGCCCACCACATTATCAGTATTGCGAAACAAAACAAAAAACAAAACAAACAAAAAAAAACTGTCAAATTAGGTATGGGTGGATAATCAGAGATTGAAAGAGCAGCATGAAGGACCTGAATTTATACTGTGTTTCAGTGTCTTAAGTTCCTGCTCCTTTTTGAAGCAACCAAAACCAAAAATCTAAATTACAGCTTTCATTTTTTGAAGAAAAACAAACAAAAACAAAAAACAAAACAAAAAAACCAAAAGACACATGGTGAATCAGCACTCCATGCTCAAAGGCCTTGCACATGCAATCAGCTGGTAAATGTACTTTTATAATTCCTAAAATAAAATATTTAAGACAGATAGAACCGCATATTGAGATTTAAAAAATAATTTCCTAGCTTTTAATTTAACTGGCTACTGGTCCTTTCATTTGGGCTAAGGCATTCAAAACTAGAATGTGTTAAGGTTATAAAATACAGAGAGCAATGCAGCCGGAGACAGACTATTTTACAGCCCAAAGAAGAGTTCTGAAAGAGGAGACAAGCATATGTCCAAACTTGAAAACATGTCAGATTTCACTGGGAACAAGATAGGAAAGAAAAGTGCGAAAGGTGGAGGCTCTTGGTATGTGCCAATGCTTCTTCTCATGGTCTTCTGGACCTGGAATTTTCAACTAAGGGACTCAAATCACATGGCTGTACCAGTCCTCTGAAAAAAAGCTACACAAGCCCATCCTACTGAAGGCCTCATACAGGCTCAGTTCCTACTTTTGTTTGAGTTTGGACATTTGTTCAATTCTTAGATTCTGGGACGTATTCTAGAATCCTTTCTAAATTTTCCCATGGCCACCTACCCTGTTTGTCCAGCTTGGTTTGCTAACTAATTTCTGCTCCTTGAAACCAAAAGAACAAGTATGCACAAACACCGTTGCTAACATTATCTTTTTTTAAATGTATACCCTGTCACTTAGTTTCTGAAAAATTTAAAGAGCAAGTTACATAAAATATGTCTTATAAAAAAGAATGGAAGGCTTCCAGTTATGTTTCTGTTGTGAATTAGCACTGTTACTTTGGAGAAATAAATTCTGGGCCATGGTGTCTATATAATGCAATCACTGGAACCTCTGAGATCTTTCCTACTTATATTTTACCAGAAAAACATTGGCTTTACTCATCAGCTGAAGACATTTTATTATTTCAGTGAGGTTTGTTTGGTTTGCTCTAGTATATACTAAAGGACCCAGATGTAATTAAATTTTAACTGAGTGAAAATATTTCTTTCAAGCCACTGCAAAAACCGAAACTGCCCAAGAAGTGACAAAGGTTAACGTGCTGCCTCCAGGCTGAACCTTTCTACTCTGCTTTTGAACTTAAGATATTCTCGTTTGGGACAACTGAAAAGGCTGACTAGCATTTTTTTTTTTTTACCAGTCAAGGAAATTCTTAGTTTGAACAAGTAGTGACTAAGGAGAAGGGTGCTTATTAGCATTGGCATGTAAACAATGAGATCAGGTATGTGTGGAAGTCACAGACATCAGGAAGTTAGAGGCATTCAATTCATAAGATCATTCTGGATCCAGCT